CGTTGGCTTGGGGTTGAAGTTATTCAGTAGCGTTTGCATCGACATGACTCTCTTCGACTTGTAGTTCAGTAGTGCCAGCATCAACATGATCCCCTTCGTCATGTTGCTCCTCTGTCAGATCGGCCACTTGAGTTTCCTTTGGTTGTTGTTCCTCTGCTTCGGCAATGGCTTCATCGTTCGCCAATTCCTCCTCTTGTTGCCTACTATGTTCAGTAGAGTCTTGTGTCTCTGAAGTTTTTGGTGCTGAACTTTCGGTGGTCTCCTGAAAATAGAAGAGGAAGAATCTTCTGGTTTAGAAAGATACACAATCGAACGTGAGCATCGACACCTAAGTTAAAAATGGTCGGAGGAATTACCTGTAGAGGAATTTCAGCCCCAGGGCTGGAATTATCACTTTCGACGGGTTTGCTGAGCAAGACGTTCAGCTCCTCCTCCGTGGGCTCTTCGATGATCACGGGAGGTGGCCTGGGTCTTCTCCCTGCAACCTTGATTCTGATCATGGGTCGAGGCTCAGGAGCAGGGGCATCTTTCTTCAGTTTTCTCCGTTTAAGAGGAGCGGGGGGAGATTCATCCTCGTCGTCACTCGCAGATTCGACCGTTAGTACAGGTCGTTTCTTAGGTGCAGGTTCCTGAAAACCAAATGGAGTCGATTTAGAGCGCCACATCGAAAATCAGGATGTTAAAACCAGAAGGAAATAATAAAAGTCTGGTTACCGGTGCTGAAGGTTTTGTAGAGGGACCTCCTCCCTGATGGCTTTCTGTGGTTTTCTTTGCTGCAGGTTTTCGAACAACTGAAAGAAGATGCGTTCACAAGTTATAATTAACAAGTTATAAGTCGAAATGGAAAGACAAATATAATTTGGAGAGTGAACGTACATTTCTTTATTTTGTCAAGGACCAGAACGAAGGACTTCTGGAGTTCGTCCACAAAATATTTTTCATCGAAGAACTCTTCAGCATAATAACTCTTCCACCAGTCTTCAAAAGATGGTGAACAGAGGAAGTTGAGTTGATAGTCGAACAGTAAGAGTACTGTCCGACCAGCATACCTGCCAATATGCTTGGTAGCAGCATCCTCAGTGTAATCATTGCAAAAATACAACATTGATTTCTCCCTAGGGAAAATGGGAGAAGGAAGTGATTGGATGATACCAAACTGTCGAGAGACCAAATTTGGCTGATAAGCGATCAGGCTCAGGTGATTCTTGGAACTCTTAAAGCGCAGCGGCATTATTCTGGGAGTGAGAAATGCTTCCCACAGTGTTGTGTGTTCTTCGAGATGAGGGTCACCTGATGACTTGGGATGGGGCCTGGTGAACCATTCTGGACCAAACTTTCGACGGGCGAAAGGAGCCATGGTCGAGGTGAATTATTTTCTTCCTGCAAACATCAAAACGAAGTTTGCAAAGGTCTGTTGGAGTTCCAGCCCATCCTCAGTGGGAGTCAGTAAAGCCAGTCTGGTGCCTTCGATACGCCTTTTGGCTATCTCAGGAGCTTGTTCGTTTATCTGAGTTTTCTAAGGTAAGAAAGACTCAAAAGTGGCATTTAGCCATAGTTGTAGTAGCCAGAAGGGTCCTGCAAGCAACAAACTGGCTCTATTTTCTATTACCTTTAACAGAGTCGCTCCACTGCTTATCGACTCATATAGGTTCGCCAGTATTAATTCGGCCAAATAGATGTTTTGACCATGGTGAAGCTGGGTAGCAAGGGTGACCATTTTCTTTGTCACCTGTAGAGACTTCGTGCAGAACACGAAGCGTGACAGCCAAAGGGCTAGAAACGCAATGTGCTCCACGTCCGTCACATTAGCTGTCGACCTGTCATGATAGTGGTTGATGTAGGTGGTGTAAGTGGGTTTGGTAGCTGAAAACCCAATCTGGTCTTCAGACATTTCCTCTGGGTCGAAGTAATCCCCAGTTGGTCGAAGACCGGTGATGGCAGCCACGTCGAAGAGAGTGGGTGTTATCATTCCACAAGGCAGGTGGAAGGTGAAGTGAGTATAGTCCCAAAATAGCAAAGAGGCTACCAGCATTTCAGGGGAGTAGTTGAGACCAGTCTTCGACAGCATGACTAGGTCATAAATCCCCAGGTTCTTCCAAATCGAAGCCTGGCTTTTTTCCATCTTGTCTAGCCAAGCGCTGTAGTCTGGTGTAAGGCTAGGGCTGGACCTAAAAGCCCTAACACCTTTGTTGAAGAAACGAAGATCTATCTTTTCTTTTGCAGGATCTTCGTTGTCATCTGCAGCCTTTTTGGAGCACCCAACAGGTTTGAGTGCCTCAAGCACCGGGAAGAAGTTCTTGTTCTTCGTGGAGTCAGCAATGCATGTAGATAAAGGGCCAGACATGGCGAAAACCTGGTTGGAGTATCATACCGGAATCAGCAGTTGAGAAGAATAAGCTTCACGCTCAGCAGTTCCCAGGGGTTCAGGAACCCTTCGCATGCCTTTGGAGTTAACTGTTGGAACAGTTGAGAAGATTTTTGGTTGGGCAGTTTTAGAAGGAATGTTAGAACTGGGAGCATTAGAAGAACGAGAACCTGAAGCCATTTTTGGGTTAAGATGAAGGTGGATGAAGAACAAAGTGTTTGCAGAAGTTTTTTGTTCAATAATAAGGCTTGGATGAAGAATAGCGTGAAAAAGTCCCACAAGGGACACCTAGCTCTATTTATAGTGATTGGAAAATCACAAAACTCGAGGTCATTTAATGTTTCAGACGATAGTGGGGCACGTAGCGCTCATTCGCTGACATAGCCGTTCTGCAGAACGGAAATGGTGCAGCGTGCATCCTCGATTTTGGGAAATTGTCATGATGACAATCTGTGAAAAGACATTGGGCACGCCAAACGCCTTACTGAAGTGACGTCTTAGGAACAGTTGGAATGATGACTTTTTGGGATTGTCAGTTGGTTGGTAGGAGACGAAAAGCGCACGGGTTAATCTGTGGCTAAGAATGAAGGACAGGTGTCGGGTGGAATCTCAAAGAATGCCTTTTTCTTTTCAGCGTCGAAATAAGGCATTCTTGGGGGGCAATTTGTTGGCTCCTAAATTCGACACCCTTGTTTTTTATTAATATAGACCATTAATCATGAGGAATGGTTTCGACCAGCTGATCCTGTCGAATGCTCATCAAAAGGTGGCAAGGTACTTAGAGAATTTCTTTTAAGTAGGAATCTTGTTGCCTTCGACGTCGAAGGAGCTTCTCGACAAAGGTATTTGATGCTCAGAGTGGAACGGTTTGAGATTCGAATGTTTGGAGGGAAAACGGTTCCCAGCAGTTACCAAGTGCAACGTGCCAAGATCAGGAGCGTCGAATGCTGTGAGCATGCCAAGTGGTGTCATCTCGAAGCAGCGTAACTGCCTAACGGTTACTTGAGATGTGTTTAGTATAAATACTAGTTGTTCACGTAGTTTTCGCGTGTGTTCACCATTATATACAAGTCACTCATTTAGATTCAAGTACCCAGTGTGAGCGAAAGAATTGTTGAGAATGTATGTGTGAAACACCATTTAAATTAATCAAAGTCTTTTATATTCCAGCACTTTACTGCCTTTTCATTTACCCTTCTCTGTCGAAGCCTTTATTTAACGCTTTCATTTATTCTATCAAGCTTTTCTTCATGCAATTTACATAAAGTGTCTTTACTTTCCTGGCATTAACCATCATTAGACTTAGTCAAACCCCAAAAAATCAACCATGTCTTAGGATCAATCTGATCGATCCTGCGAGTCACCAAATAAGTAACCTTTTGGAGGATCAGCGGTTGTTTACCAATTTCCACGGTAAACAGCCCCGTGCAAAAATTTTGAATCCTTTCCCCAACGGACATAACTGTTTCCCAACTGACATATTCGTTTCGAACAAATATGTCTCTTCGTTTTCAATTACTGTTCTCCTATATAAGGAGTCGTTCGGCCTCGGTCTCGCACACAGAAAAAAAACGCATCCTTCTCTCTATAATTACAATTCGTTTTCTTTTGTCGGAAACAGAATTTCTTCGAGAATTATCCCCACAAAGATTTCGTGAACCCAGACAAGAATAGGGTCGAAATACTTTGTTCGAAAAATGTACGAACACGATTCTTCGAAGTTATCCTGGATTATCACACCCTAAATATCTTTTATATTTATATATATATATATATATATATATATATATATATATATATATATATATATATATATATATATATATATATAACCTTTACACGAACTTTTAAAGTAAAAGTAAAAATTAGAAAATATAAAATTAAAACACTAATAAACTAATTAAATTCTCAAGTAAAAAGTACCCACAACAACAACAAAAATCTCACGTCAAGAATGACTTAAGCATCTATAAGTTTGAGCTTTTGATAGTTTTGTCTCTAATGGCCAACTTGATTCTACGAATGCTATAATACCACGTCTTAAAAATTTACTATATATTGTCACCTTTTTCTTTAATAATCTAGAAACGCTTTGGTTCAGACCCTGTGGACAAAAGTTTCAACTTTAACTTGTGAATTTCTAATACAATAACAGTTTCAGTAGGGACTTGTTGAGTATGAAAAAGACATCTTATATGAAACCATTAATTATGCTCATCTTTAAGTTACTATTATTATTATTATTATTATTATTATCATTATTATCATTATTATTATTATTATTATTATTATTATTATTATTATTATTATTATTTAATAATTCACAACCATTAATGTATAATGCACTGACAATAGCTACCAATTATTAACTACCAAAAAAACAATAGAACTATCTAAGATAAAAACATTCAACCAAAGAATGAAATCATATTAATAAAAGTTAAATTTCAATATTTCAACAACCACCTCAAAATTATGAAACTAAAACAAAAAATCCCCCACACTAATTTCTTCTATTTAATATACTATAAAAATATATAATCCACAAATTAAGATATATAAAGACATCCTTAATGTGTCCTAAATTATATATTTTTTCAATATAAAATATTTTTCTCCTACTCATGAATTGTTTTTACATGGTATCATTCATGAGTTGTTGCTCTAAAAACAACATAGTTTCATCATTCCAAAAAATATCTGATGAGTTCTCATTTTGCATCCATGGTGTGTTTGGCTCCATGAATTGAAAATCGGCTAATTCTTGAGAGAATAATCCAGATGGGCTTGTGATGCAATCCGAGAAGCTAGGTTGATGAGAAGGTTGACAATAATCTAAATTAGAGTTAGGGTTATTCTTATTATCAACATTTGTGTAATAATAATTATAATTATTATCACCCAAATCTGATATTGTTGAGACCTTATGATTCTCAAATGAATCTGATGATGTGGTTGTGTTACTATTCTCTAGGGTATAACTTTGTGTTATATGTGGTTGTGAACTCACAAATTCATTGTTCATAGTAATTGTTGGAGTTGAACCCATTGTAACTTTTAGGCCATTATTATTGTTGATGTAGTTGGATGTAGTATTGTTGACGGTCGTCTTGGTGGTGGTGGAAGTGGCGGCCGATGCGGCTTGAATGCGCTCAACTAGCCTTGGCATCCAAAGGTAACGCATGGTGTCCTTGAATTGCTTGCTATTCACGTCACATTTGAGTTGTTTAGCTAACTTTTGTACACGAGTTCTCCAATAATTCTTAATTTCATTATCCGTTCTGCCCGGTAGAAATTGAGCTATTTTCGACCATCTAATACAATCCATCAATAAATAATCAATAAATTAAATTAATAGAAAAAAATGTAAAATTGATTAAATGATATAACGTTTTAATGAGGAAAAAAAAAAGAAAAATATATTTTCAAAATTTAATTTAAATTAATTCATTTTCATAAAACTGATTTGTAAAATGAAATTTTTTTAGGTGGGTGAATAATTTTTTAAATCATATCTCATCTAAATTATTACTTACCGATTTCCCCAACGAGCATGAAGTTCAAGAATCAAAAGTTGCTCCTCGAGTGTGATATTTCCACGTCTAACATCGGGACGAAGATAGTTTAGCCACCTCAATCGACAACTCTTGCCCGATCGTTTAAGACCTAATGTAACAAAAGAAGGTAAATTATATTTATAAAGCTTTCAATATATAAATATATATATCACAAAGAAAGAGCATCCCAATTTTATATTATAGTACTTTCTATTTCGGATATGATTTTTGGTGGAGATGTATCAATCCATTTTCCTTTTTCACAAGTGGGCATAGCAAGCAATTATAACCAACCAATATTCATAAATTTCAAGGTATTATCCGAATTTAACAAAATAATTTCTAAACCTAGCAAGAGAGAACAACATCAACATATGCCATATATCACATTTCACTATCATGATATTTAGTCATATGTGATAGAAAAGCAATAAGAGAAATTAAATATGAGTTACCTGCTAAGTTGGCTAGGGTATTCCAACGACCTTCACCATGAGTAGCAATGTAATTCATGAGGGTTAGGTCCTCATCTACGGTCCATGGACCTCTTCTAAGGTCCATCTCATCATCTTCACAACTCATAACGTTGTTGTTGTTGTTGTTTCTTCCTTTTACATCCATTGATTAATACAAGAACTCTCAAAACAAAGATATATATGTAGCTTTGGTTGTATATTTTGCTAGGTTTGGAGAGAGAAAGAGAGAGAGAAGGAAAGAGAGATTGTTGTTGGATTATTAGAAGAAAGGTTAAGGGTGAGGGTTTATATAAATAGTAGACATGGATGATGATATTGCATGCGGGTAATAGAATTAGGAAATTCAAGAAAACGACAGACTCTATGGTTTGGTGGGGTTTGGGATAAATGGAAAAATAATGATTTTAGTTAAGTAAGGTTTGGAAGATTAATTAATTGCAGTTTGTAAGTATGACTCTTTTGACATTCTTGCTTTGTTTGCGTGCTCATTAGGTTTTTCGTTTAATGTTTCTTTTCATCGACTTGGACATGTAGCTCCTCACAACTCACGTTTTTTTCCTTCGTTACTAACTTCGTCACATATATAATTGTTTTACATATATTTTTTAGGCTCTTCTTTGATTATTCACTTTGTCACATTATTTTTATAGGGACTTTTTTTCCTTCTTCTTTTCCAATTGGGATGGGTCTATCTGCCTAGCAGAATGAGTGAGACTATTATAATTAAGGTTGTCGAATTCACATTTTCTTTTAAATATTCGATCTTTTTCATCTATAATCTACTTAGTTTAATTCAAATTTATGATTACACAACTATTTAGTGATCTATTATTGTTCTGAAATGGCAAAAGACTCAAATAACTAAGATTCAATTCACTTTATTTGATTCAAGATATAAAGTTAGTTCACATGAAAAGTAATATACATTGTCTGATATTTACTTTTCACTACACTCATCTCGAATCTTGAACTGACTTAAGCGTTGAAGTGTTAACCTTGCAGGTCCATCCCGCGTTGTCGTAGCAGAGATCAACATCGGCGATTCAAGACCTCTAGTTCACCAACTACATTCAATTATGGTTCCTGTACAGAATAGTGACGTCGTCTGTGGGAAACAACTTATGATTCTCGTTATTTCCACGATCTCGCATTCGCTCTTCAATTCACCTGTGTGTGTGTGTGTGTGTGTGTGTGTGTGTGTGTGACTTTCATTGATCACCACATCAAGAGCGATCATAATCGAATGCGAAGATCCTCCGTGTTCAGTTCAATCAATAATTGTTTCAAACTACGATTCTTCTAATATTTAGTTCTCTAATTCTTTTGAGAACTCCACGAGGTAAAAGAATGAATGATTCAAGATCCAACTCCATATCTACGCCAGAATTACCAAAGAGTGTAGGCAATTGCCTTCAAGAGCATGCTAAAGATTCCTGGTCAATCTTTTGATCTCGCATTACCTCAATTATTTGTCACTGAAGTGATACATACCGTTGCGACTTCAAAGATACGTGAGTTCATAACTATTGTTAGCAAAGATCTGTCACCGGAGCACTTTTTTCAGAAAAGGACCTCTTAATGACGAATACATACTGCCTCAGGTTGGAGCAGAAATCATTGTGGATAACGCTACACACAAACATGACGCGAAGTGTCTGACATTCCAACTCTATTACACTTTCTCCTCAACACCTAAATCATGAGCGTAGTTTCTTTCACATGAATTCTCCTAGTAAGATTTCTCTTCCATACGACCGTTAAGCATTGCGTCAAGAAATAAAAGCGTTCGAACACGAATACGTTCGAAGAAAGAGAACATTGAGCAAACTACAAGTGTGGGCCGCACAGCGATCACGGAAGTTGCCACCGACATAAGGGTTTATACGAGATAACTCATAGGCAACATTCTTTGGGCATCAATGTATAGTCTGGCGTAGCCAAGCTAGTCCTATGTTTTTAAATAAAATTATGCATATTTTGAAAGTAAGGCCGAAGTAGTTTGCAAAGAAGAAATTTCATAAATGTCTTACTGTTGTACCCCAAAATTTGCCCTCCCTTTTTCACAAGAATATTACAATCCCAGGGTTTTCTCCGATTTTTGAGATTAGCTCAGGAATTGATCAAGCAGACCTTTCTTTGGCAACAAATCCGGAATTAAGGTTTTCGCTCGTATTTCTCAGAAGAAACTGAATCCTCAGAAATTCAGTTAATTGTTACATTGTTTTCACGCTTGTTCAAGTTTATTGGTTGTTTCTCAAGGCCTGATTATCTGGGATAAGAACTGAGTCTCTTATTTGGAATATTAAGGCATCTGTTTGTTAATGGAACGAAACGTTTGTTTGCTAATGGAATGCTTGTTTGCTTATTGGAATACACAACGCGTGTGTTGATTGGAATGTTGTCGCAAGTTATGAGAGTGCAAAGTTTTTTAAGATTACTTGGATTTTAAGTTATCTGTATTGGAAATGTTGGAATGTCGTTTCAGTTTATTTTTAATCAGGAATCTTAAAGTGAAGAGGCAAAGGAAGAAATTGAAAAGATATTTGACAGTAGAAATTTTCTTTTGGATAAAGACTTCTATTTACTTCAAATGTTGTTACAAAATTTATTTAAATATTATAAGATTACAACTTATAGTATTTAAGATAATATTTGTTTACAATAAATGAAAAAATAAATCTAAGCCTAATCTCCTAAGATCTTTGACTTCTACTGCTTCCTCTATCATCCAATTGGTACTTACCTGCAAAAGACAGAGAAAAAGAATAAGAATTTTCAAGCAGAAAAAGAAGAAAAAAAAGAAAATCATCACTAAAGTTTGCCATCCGGAATCAGAATGCTATTTGTTCATCATGTTTTATTTTCCTCTTTGCAAATCACAAGAAGATTACTCTTCTTGGTTCACAAAGATAAAAGTAAAAACAAATAATAAAATGCAAGCATGTCAAACTAGATGCAAAAACTTGGTTCAAATGCAAAATCATAAGGCATTGTAAAGGCAAACCAAGGCGCCAAATTCCAAACTGAATACCAAAATGCAGTAATGCAAAACTGTCAAACATATGCATTGTAAAGGCAAACCAAGGCGCCAAGATTCAAAACTGTAAAGGCATACAAGTACAGAAAGTACACAATGCAGCAGGTAATACAATGCAAAGAGATAAACCAAATTACAAGCCAAAGAGACTTGTCAAAGCCATCATCATTTTCCTAGGCAAACTTTTCAGAAATTACAATATAATAAGCAAAAGGTGCTTAGAGAGAGAGAGAGAGAGAGGACCTAGTGAAGAGGTTTGCAGTTTGTCTAAGGCAGGCTGTAAAAGACAGTAAATATAACAAAAGATATATAACAGTCTAGCAGCAAACACAGTAAAAGGAGGGGGGAATACTTAGCCAAAAAAATATGCACAACTTGAAAACTGTGAAAACCACAGCCAAGCTTGCAAAAACAGTTAACCCAAACTGCAGGTCAAACAAAACAAGCTCAAACCTGCATAACAACAACAAACTGCAACTTACCCAAAATAACCAGCAAACAGTTCCAAACACAAAACTTACTAAGTTGACCAAGACAATTTACAAACTCACAAACCTGCAGTTTCAAAAACTGTGAAACAAAAATCAACAAGCTCAACAATCCAATCTGCAGAACCAAACCTATTTGGCCAAAACTGCATAACTGCAAACCAAACCTGCCTGCACAAGACAAGCTAACAAAACCTGCTAGCAAGAAACCTGTACCAAACTACAGATTGAACCACAAACCAAACTCCAAACCTGTTTGGCCAAAACTGCATAAACTGTAAACCCAGTCTAACTATCATCACCAATATTCAAGGTAGAGCATCAACAAAAAATCACAAGCTTCATCAACTATCATAAACAAGTTCAAACCAACAAAAGGTTGTTTCAGAGAAAAAGCAACAAACTCAAAGCAAAACAACATAAGTTTTCAGAATCACTCATCATCAAAACATAAGTAGCCAAGAGAAGAGGAAGAGAAAATCAGAAGCAATCCACAAAGGGTTTTCAGAAGCAAACAGTTTTCAGAATCATTCATCATCAAACATCAGAAATCAATAAATCTCAGAGCTATTCTCATCATCAATATTCAGTAAAGGGAAAGGAAGAGGTTCAGAAGCAAATCAAAAACAATACAGTTTCAGAATCAAGTTTATCATCAACAATAAACATCAAAAGCTTCAGAAACACGTTCATCATCAAAAAGAGGAAGAGTTTCAGAAACAGAATCAACAGTTCTTAGAACAGTTTTCATCATTAAACATTCAAAGAACAACAAAGGGTCTCAGAATCAAGTTCATCATTATCCTTCAAAGAAGAAAGAAAGAGGGTTACCAAGCATCATCTCATCTTCATCCTCCGCCCCCTAGCCTCCAAGGAGCACCTCCGTCTCACATCTCTCTCCCTCCATCTTTTTCAGAAACAAAACGCTCAAGGTACGTCCCTCAAACCCTAACTGCATGTAAGCATCAAAGGTTAAAAGATTAAACATGCAAGTAACTTGAAGAATCAAACGAACATTGAAACTGTAAAAAACCTAAAAAATTAGAACAAGATAAAACTGTACCGTTTACAAACAAATGCGAGATCGTTGCAAAGAGAAGGAGAGAGTTATGGTGGTGTTCTGGTGGTCTAAGGGGAGGGAGAATCAGCGTCATGGTCGGAGAAAGATGAAGACGAAGAAGAAAGCAAAAGGAGGCGCCGCTGTAAAGCCAAACTTGCAAACCCTAATGAATGAACCCCTAAAACATTATGCAAACGTTGGGCCTGTCTTGCGCAACATAACTTAATCCCACTAACAAATGCTGGCTAGCGCACCCCCACTCATTTTCTTTCCATCCTAATTTGGTCTCCTTTGGGCCACCCAAAAAAACATTTCCATAAAGCCCATTTTTTATTTTATTTTTAAACCAAATACTTTTTTATTTGTTTTCATTCTAAATAAATTCTTTTCATTCCTTTTGTTAATAATAAAATTAATGTATTAAAATTTTGTTTTGATATAGTTTCTTTTTAAAATAGTTATTACCTTTAATAAAAATACAAGAATAATATTAAACATTAATTTAGGTAATTAATCTTTCTTTAAAACTTTTCTTTACACGAAATTCCTAAAAAATACAA